TACAAGCAGTTCCTGAGTTACAAACATTTGACTTGGTGCCCTTCCAGATGTGCCTTCTCTCCCAGGATCTGATCCCAGGTTTTCCACTCTAAACTGGATTATATGAGTCTGCGCTACCAGATAATCCAGGATAAACAGAAAACCTGGGATCAGATCCTGGGATATAAGGCCTGTCTGGAAGGGTCCATACAGATGACTCACAATGTGGTTACGGCGACAGGAAATGAGAGATAGTTGCCCCTCGGAAGGAAATCGTAGATTGGAGGAGAAAGACAAATAATTGTTGGAACAACCTATTAAGAAGATAGAAATAGAGGAAGTTATTAAGAACTAGCTGTCCCCTGCCACGCGTTGCTGTGGCCCACATAGGGGTTCTGTGTGGGAGGTTTGGCCCAATTCTATCATTGGTGGGGTTCAGAATGCTCTGTGATTGTAGGTGAACTATAAATCCCAGCAACTACAACTCCCAAATGTCAAGATTCTATTTTTCCCAAACTCCACCAGTGTTCACATTTGGGCATATTGAGTATTCGTGTAGAGTTTGGTCCAGATCCATCATTGTTTGAGTCCACAGTGATCTCTGGATGTAGGTGAACTACAACTCCAAAACCAAAGGACACTGCCCACCAAACCCTTCCAGTATTTTCTGTTGGTCATGGGAGAACTGTGTGCCAAGTTTGGTTCAATTCCATCATTGGTGGGGTTCAGAATGCTCTTTAGTTGTAGGTGAACTATAAATCCCAGCAACTACAACTCCAAATGACAAAATCAATTTTTTTTAGTGAAGGGCATACATTGGGTTGTTAGGTGTCTTGTGTCCAAATTTGATGTCAATTCGTCCAGTGGTTTTTGAGTTCTGTTAATCCCACAAACGAACATTACATTTATATTTATATAGATTTAAAAGCTGGGAAAGCGCCAGGTCTGGACGGTCTGGGAACAGAATATTATAAAAGCTTTAGAGAAGGATTATTAGAACAATATTATTCAAGAAATTCAGCAGCAGGAAGGAAGGGAAATCCACTCCTGAAAGAGTTATTGTTCGTGGAGAATGTTCTGTTTCCATGGCAAACCTTTAAACCCTTTTGCAAATAACTTGGACGTTAATGCTGCTCACTGGGAATTTCAGAGACTTCAAGGGGGCTGTGGGGGTAAATTGGGGTAAACCCTTGTGCTGCTGAACTGCAGTTCTGAAGGTTGGCAGTTCCAATCCATAGGATGGGGTGAGCTCCAAGTGTTAGCCCTAGCTCCTGCCAACCTAGCAGTTCGAAAACATGCAAATGTGAGTAGATCAATAGGTATCGCTTTGATGGGGAAAGGCAAAATAAAAGACCCTCCAAGCAGTCTACGACCAGGAGGTGTCTACGACAACGCAGGTCCTTGGCCTGGAAATGGAGAAGAGCACCTCCTCCAGAACCGGAAATGAAAGGAGAAGCCTTTGCCTGCGTATTTGTATTCACTCTGTTTTCATTTGTCACAAGGCATTGAACCTTTTCCTGTGTTTGTTTATATGCTGTAATCTGCTCTAAGTTTCATAGAATCAGAGAATCAGAGAATCAAAGTTGGAAGAGACCTCTGTTTTGAAGGTTGAAGATTATTTTCTTTTTGTGGGAAGACCGAGGCAAAGAAGGCATCAAGTAGTTCTGCCTTTTCCCTATCCCCTGTCATCATTGCCCCATCTTCTCCTCGAAGAGGCCCTATCGCCTCCTTGTTTTTCCTTTTTCTACTGACATAAGAAAAGAAGCCCTTTTTATTGTTTTTAATGTCCCTGGCAAGCCTGAGCTCATTTTGTGCTTTAGCCTTGCGGACCTTTTCCCTACAGGTGTTGGCTATTTGTTTGAATTCTTCTTTGGTGATTTCTCCCTTTTTCCACTTCTTGTGCATGTCTCTTTTGTGTCTTAGCACAGTTAGAAGTTCTTTGGACATCCATTCTGGCTTCTTTGCACTTGTCCTATTTTTTCTCTTTGTTGGCACGGTTTGCAATTGCGCCTTGAGTATTTCACTCTTGAGAAATTCCCATCCATCTGTAACTCCCTTGTCTTTTAGTATCTGTGTCCACAGAATGCTGCTCAGTGTTTCCTTCATTTTTCGGAAATCAGCTCTCCTAAAGTCCAAAATGCTGGTTTGACTTGTCTTAGTTTCGGCCTTCCTTTGTACCTCAAATTGCAGGAGCACATGGTCACTTGCCCCTAAGAATCCTACCCAGACAGCCAATTCTCTCATAGAATCATAGAATCAAAGAGTTGGAAGAGACCTCATGGGGCATCCAGTCCAACCCCCTGCCAAGAAGCAGGAATATTGCATTCAAATCACCCCTGACAGATGGCCATCCAGCCTCTGTTGAAAAGCTTCCAGAGAAGGAGCCTCTGCCATACTCTGGGCAGAGAGTTCCACTGCTGAACAGCTCTCACAGTCAGGAAGTTCTTCCTCATGTTCAGGTGGAATCTCCTTTCTTGTAGTTAAAGTGTTATTATTCAGAATGACCAGCTGAAAAGTGGGCAAAGGACCAGCCTCCACTGGGTCTTCAAAACCCAATGATCACGGGGACAGGAAGTGAGGTGACACAGGCAGCAAAACAAACCCCACACGGGCCTTGACCCTTCCATATGCCATCCAAAGCAGATAGGCAGATAGATTTATTTATTTTGTATCAAAAGCATTGCATAAATTAGTATAAAACTGATAAAAAATAGAAGGTGCGCAGGTGGTTAAATATATTTTGACCAAAAACGGGCAACAGCAACAGCATTGTCTGTAGCCTCCAACAATTCTTCCTGTATACATGAGGCAGGGCATAGAGGATGAGCATAGAGATGGTTAAATATCTTTTGACCAAAAACGGGCAACAGCGACGGCATTGTCGGTAGCCTCCAACAATTCCTCCTCTTTACGTGAGGCAGGGCATAGAGGACGAGCATAGAGAAGCAGAATTGTCTGTCCTGCTCCACAGTCACACAAGGTGTGGGATTCTTTTAGGTCATGCCATTTAGCCAGGTTGTTTTTTGATCTGTCTTTTGATTAGATAGGTAGAGTTGCACTTTAAAAATGTCCCTGTTCTGATTTACAAACAAATGCGACTTAAGAACAAACCCTGTTTGTAACTTGAGGACTGCCTTTATTATTATTTGTTACCCGCCTTGCCTCCCAGCTCGAGGTCGGGTACAACACGGCCAAAACACACGTGCCAAATTGCATCATGCAAAGCTTAAAACATGCTCCCGGTGGAAGAATGTGCCTTTAAATTTCCCAGTTCAGAATGGACTGGACAGGCGTGGCGGAAGAGGGAGATCTTCAGCTGTGCCTTGAATGCTGGCAGCGTGTTCTGCTGTCACTGATCCTCCTGCGGTCCTCTTCTGCAAACGGTCAATGGAAAGGTCCTCTGGGTGACCGTTGCCTGTCAAGCAGAAATGATCCTGGGGGGGTTCTAGGAAGGAAGACCCACTTTTTGTGTGTTTCCGATCTCCAGTTGCCTTTCTGTTTTATTTGCAAGTCCGGCCTTTGGGCAAAGGGTGGAGGACACTTCCCCTTGGCTGTTTCCCAGAGTGACCCTCAGCAACCGCGTCCCTCTTGCCTCCTTCCTTCCTCCCTCCAGGCCCCAGAGTGGACGCAGCAGCAGCAACTACGCAGGAGCCTCTTCCAGGCAGAGCGAGAGCCGAGGACCCGGCATTCCTGGCCGAGAAGCAGCAGCGGGAGCAGCTGGCGGAGCAGCTGAGGGCCGAGAGGAGGAGCAAGAAGAAGGTGGGGCCCGGGGAGAGCCATGGGGGGCCTGGGGAGGGGGTCTCCCTCCTCCCAGGTGTCATTCATTTATTATTTATTTATTTACAACATTTATATGCCGCCCTTCTCACCCCGAAGGGGACTCAGGGCAGCTTACAAGTAAAAAGTAAATGCAATATATTATATATATACAAATGTAGCAATGGAATTTTGTGAGGGAACCTCCTCTTTAAGTTTTGCTGCCCTTGGGTTGACCATGCGGTCTCCGTTTGTGTCTTCTGCCTTTTCTTCCTACCAGTAAGGACGCATTTTGCCTCTCTCTAGGCAAAATGTAGCAATGGAATTCTGTGAGGGAACTTCCTCTTTAAGTTTTGCTGCCCTTGGGTTGACCATGCGGTCTCCGTTTGTCTCTTCTGCCTTTTCTTCCTACCAGTAAGGACGCATTTTGCCTCTCTCTAGGCAAAATGTAGCAATGGAATTCTGTGAGGGAACTTCCTCTTTAAGTTTTGCTGCCCTTGGGTTGACCATGCGGTCTCCGTTTGTCTCTTCTGCCTTTTCTTCCTACCAGTAAGGACGCATTTTGCCTCTCTCTAGGCAAAATGTAGCAATGGAATTCTGTGAGGGAACTTCCTCTTTAAGTTTTGCTGCCCTTGGGTTGACCATGCGGTCTCCGTTTGTCTCTTCTGCCTTTTCTTCCTACCAGTAAGGACGCATTTTGCCTCTCTCTAGGCAAAATGTAGCAATGGAATTCTGTGAGGGAACTTCCTCTTTAAGTTTTGCTGCCCTTGGGTTGACCATGCGGTCTCCGTTTGTCTCTTCTGCCTTTTCTTCCTACCAGTAAGGACGCATTTTGCCTCTCTCTAGGCAAAATGTAGCAATGGAATTCTGTGAGGGAACTTCCTCTTTAAGTTTTGCTGCCCTTGGGTTGACCATGCGGTCTCCGTTTGTGTCTTCTGCCTTTTCTTCCTACCAGTAAGGACGCATTTTGCCTCTCTCTAGGCAAAATGTAGCAATGGAATTCTGTGAGGGAACTTCCTCTTTAAGTTTTGCTGCCCTTGGGTTGACCATGCGGTCTCCGTTTGTCTCTTCTGCCTTTTCTTCCTACCAGTAAGGACGCATTTTGCCTCTCTCTAGGCAAAATGTAGCAATGGAACTCCATGAGGGAACTTCCTCTTTAAGTTTTGCTGCCCTTGGGTTGACCATGCGGTCTCCGTTTGTCTCTTCTGCCTTTTCTTCCTACCAGTAAGGACGCATTTTGCCTCTCTCTAGGCAAAATGTAGCAATGGAACTCCATGAGGGAACTTCCTCTTTAAGTTTTGCTGCCCTTGGGTTGACCATGTGGTCTCTGTTTGTCTCTTCTGCCTTTTCTTCCTACCAGTAAGGACGCATTTTGCCTCTCTCTAGGCAAAAAGTAGCTGCATGGATCTTTTTACCTTTTACATACTTTAAAAGATGGGATTTAGTGAGCTTCAAGTCCTTTTCTAGAAAGAATATATTTCTTTTACTTCAATAAATACTTTTGAACCTCAAGTTCTGACTCTCCATCCTATGAAGAGAAAGCTAATCCCAGCTCACCACACGTATGTTTCGGCTGATTATGAAGCTTACTTCTGGTCCTCTGGTATATTTATGGTGGAATCACCCCAACTCAGGGTTATTTTTGAACCTAACTGATTCCCCAAAGGCACTTTTCATGCCAAAGTTAGTCAAATTCTTCACCCCCTTTGTTCCTCCACGATGCCATTTTCAGGTTTCAGTTTGAGGAGGGGGTCTTCAGCTTTGCCAGGCCTTAATGGGCCCTTAGCCAGACCCCAGTCATACCATTTCAATCACCCACCCATCACACAGGAACACGAACTGGTCTTGCGAAGGATAGCCGACGACCGGCGGCACGTCCAGGTGAAGGCGCAGCTGACCCAGGCAACCCCCTCTGCCCCACAATCGCCATCGGAGGACGGAGCGCAGCAGCTACAGGAGCAGCCCCCGGCCCCTTCCTCTTGGGATGGGCAATGCCTCCTAATGGTGAGATGCACCCCCATTTCAGAAATAGACAACCCCCCCCCCCCAAAAAGTGTGAGTTGGGGTCTGTTTGGTCTGGAGTGAGCCTCCCTTCTCCCCCCCCCACTCTCTTTCCCCAGATCCGCCTCCCTTCGGGGGCCTCCGTCCGCCACCGCCTCCCGTCCGACTGCCCCCTGGAGACCCTCCTGCGGCGCCTCCTGCTGGACCACCCGGGCCTCTCCCCCTCTGCCTCCTTCCTCCAGACCTTCCCCAAGCGGCACTTTGGCCCCGCCGACCTCCCCTCCTCCCTCCAGGCCTTGGGCCTGACCCCCAGCGCCACCCTCTGCCTCCTGGAGCCCCCCTCCCCTGGGAGCCCCCCAACTGACCCCCGGGCGCCCCCCAAGGAGGAGGGAGAGGGAGGGGAGCTCCGCCCAATGGGGAGTGCGGCCCTGGTCCTTCGTGACCCCTCCGTGCAGCTGCCACCGTCGCCACAAGAGGAAATTCCAGAAGCCCCAGACGTGGCTGCCGCTGACCACCATCGCTGGGGTGAGTCACACCTTCTGCATAGCTTTGATGGGGAGGGGGGGAGAGATGGCAAAACAAAAGTTTGGAGGATTACTTAAGCTCTCCTGTATTTGAGCCTATATATATATATATATATATATATATATACACACACACACACACACACACACACACACATACATACATATACACATACATACATACATACACTATAATAATAATTTTGTATTGTCAAAGGCTTTCATGGCCAGAATTGTCAGTGTAATGTCAATATATATTGTACAAGTTTAAAATGTCCACGCTGCCAGCTGGGAAAGTGTTAACCTTTGGAACGTTATGAAGCACGTGTGGAACAGGCAAGGGAGATGTTGCGATAGACTGGAAGGCTGGACACAGAATTAATGAGCTGATAACAGTTTGGTATTTATATAGCAGACGCCATTGCGCAATCCCTTCTCTTGGATCGTGACCGTGCTAAATCTATATAAATAAAAAATGTAATGTTAGTTTGTGGGATTAACATACGAAAACCACTGGGGGAATTGACACCAAATTTGGACACAATATACGTGTCAGGCCAATGAGTGACCATCACTCATAAAAACACTGAAAAGCATAACAGAAGAGACTTTAAAGGCCAAATTTTAAAAAAAAAACACATTACAATTCATGCGCAAAACCATATACTGTATATACTCGAGTATAAGCCTAGTTTTTCAACCCCTTTTTCAGGCTGAAAAATCTCCCCTCGGCTTATACTTGAGTCAATGTTATTTACTATTTTACTCTGTTACTAGTATTTTATTATTATTACATTTATTATTTTACTCTTTATTGTTATTATAACATTTATTATTTTATATCTATTTATTTATTTACTGTCCTTGTATACCGCCGTTTCTCAGCCTAACTGGCGACTCAACGCGGTTTACAACAAAATATACAGTACACAGTATACAATTAAAACCATAAAAAACATAATACACAATATTACACGTAAATCACAATCCAATACATCTCCTAACTAAAATCGTGGTCCAATTGCATCATCCATATTACCAATCCGTAGTTGACACATTCATTGCACCGAATTAACCAAATGCCTGCTTGAACATCCAAGTTTTTAGTCTTCTTCGGAATACCATCAGCGAGGGGGCTGATCTTACCTCCATGGGAAGGGTGTTCCAAAGCCGAGGGGCCACCACAGAAAAGGCCCTGTCTCTCGTCCCCGCCAGCCGCACCTGTGAAGCAGGCGGGATAGAGAGCAGGGCCTCCCCAGAAGATCTTAGGGTCCTGGTGGCTGATAGGCCGAGATACGTTCGGATAGGTAGTTGGGCCAGAACCGTTTAGGGCTTTAAAGGCCAATGCCAGCACTTTGAATTGAGCCCGGTAGCAGATCGGCAGCCAGTGGAGCTGGTGCAGCAGAGGAGTTGTGTGCTCCCTGCGCTCCGCTCCTGTTAATATCATGGCTGCCGCCCGTTGGACTATTGGAGCTTCCGAGCCGTCTTCAAAGGCAACCCCACGTAGAGAGCGTTGCAGTAGTCTAAACGGGATGTAACCAGCGCGTGGACTACCGTGGCCAAGTCAGACTTCCCAAGGTACGGGCGCAGCTGGCGCACAAGTTTTAACTGTGCGAATGCTCCCCTGGTCACCGCCGAAACCTGGGGTTCCAGGCTCAGCGATGAGTCCAGGATCACACCCAAACTGCGAACCTGCGTCTTCAGGGGGAGTGCGACCCCGTCTAACACAGGCTGTAACCCTATACCCTGTTCGGCCTTGCGACTGACCAGGAGTACCTCTGTCTTCCCTGGATTCAGTTTCAATTTGTTCGCCCTCATCCAGACCGTTACAGCGGCCAAGCACCGGTTCAGGACCTGAACAGCCTCCTTAGAAGAAGGTGGAAAGGAGTGACAGAGTTGGACATCATCCGCGTACAGATGACATCGTACCCCGAAACTCCGGATGATCTCACCCAGCGGCTTCATGTAGATGTTAAACAACATGGGAGACAATATTGAACCCTGAGGAACCCCACAAGACAAAGGTTGTGGGGTTGAACAGGAGTCTCCCAGTAACACCTTCTGAGACCGACCCTCAAGGAATGACCGGAGCCACTGCAAAACAGTACCTCCAAGTCCCATCCCCGCGAGGCGTCCCAGAAGGATACCGTGGTCGACGGTATCGAAGGCCGCTGAGAGGTCGAGCAGCACCAACAGGGACACACTCCCCCTGTCTAGCTCCTGGCGCAGATCATCCACTAAGGCGACCAAGGCTGTCTCGGTACCATGTCCCGGCCTAAAGCCAGACTGTGCCGGATCCAGATAATCTGTGTCTACCAAGAATACCTGGAGTTGTGAGGCCACCACACGTTCCAGGACTTTGCCCAAAAAGGGGAGATTGGAAACAGGCCGATAGTTGACAAATTGAGTGGGGTCCAGTGATGGTTTTTTCAACAGCGGTTTTATCACAGCTTGCTTTAAGCTGGCTGGAATTTTGCCTTCCCGAAGGGAGGCATTAACCACCACCTTCACCCACTCGGCCAATCCCCCTCTGGCCTCCTTCAGAAGCCAGGATGGGCAGGGGTCTAGGATGCATGTGGTAGCTCTCATTCCTCCAAGCACCTTGTCCACATCCTCGGATTGAACCAATTGAAATGAATCCATCAAAACCGGACAAGCAGATGCTCGTGTTACATCCTCAGAGACTGCCGTTAATATGGTATCCAGACCAGAGCGGATCAAAGCGGATTATTGTTATTATTACATTTATTATTTTACTCTCTTATTACTGTTATTACCTTTCCATTATTTTACTCTATTTTTTATTACATTTATTATTTTACTCCCTTTATTATTATTGGAAGGATATGTAAGCACATTTACATTGAAGAAGGTTAGAATCATGGTTGGACAACTTTATCTTAAATTACAATTTTATGAAAATATTCAAAAATATTTATTTACTCTACTGATGCCTCAATTAATGTAATTGTATTGATACCTATTTCTATTTTGAAACTTACCAGTATCTGCTTCATTCCTCGCCCTCAGCTTATACTCGAGTCAATACATTTCTCAGTTTTTTGTGGTAAAATTAGGTGCCTCAGCTTATATTCGGGTCGTCTTATACTCGAGTATATACGGGGTATGTATGTGTGTGTATGTATATATGTATACACACATATACACACACACACACACGCAAACACACATAAAACACATATACACAGACTGAGCCACAGCAACGCGTGTCAGGGGACACCTAGCCATCTATAAAAATGTAATGTTTGTTTGTGGCATTAACATAACTCAAAAACCACTGGACCAATGGACACCAAATTTATACACAATACACGTATTAGGCCAACGAGTTACCATCGCTCATAAAAACACTGAAAAACACAGCAGGAGAGACTTAAAAAGCCAAACAGTTAAAAAAAATACAACTAATATGCAAAACCACATATATATATACACAAACACATACATATATAGACACATATACACACACATAACACATATACACAGACTGGGCCACAGCAATGCATGGCAGAGGATGGCTAGTAAATAAATAAATAAATAAATAAATATAAGAGCCGCTCGTTGAAGCAGAAACAACTGTCTGAAGTCAATGAATTGGATGATAAGAAGCAAGTTGGCCAGCCAATTGCCTTGATAGGAATCACTTGGGTGTTTTGTGGTTTTCAGGCTCTTTGGCCATGTCTTAGCAGCATTTTCTTCTGACGTTTTGCCTGCATGCTAGAACACAGCCATACAGCCCAAAAAACACACAACACCACAGTAATAATTTTATTTCTGACCTGCCTCTCTTCGTGGCTCGAGGTGGGTCACAGCACGGTCAAAACACACAAACGTTGCAAAAATTATATATATAACTGCACATATTAAAAGGTAGTTCTATAAAATATGCATATTAAAACAGATTTCTATAAAATACATGTTAAATATACTGGATAGAGATTAAAACACAGGACACGAGTTTGAAATTCGTACTCAAAAACTTTTGAAAGTAAATCCCATTCAGAACCGGGGCGTATAACATACACACTCTTGCTCCCTTTCCTATGAAAAGATACCTGTGTGTCACCGGTTCATGCCCAAATGCCTCCTTCCATGGAAGGGGGATCTTTGCATGACCCAGAGGTGGCCTTTGGCCTTGTAGCCCCCTCCCCTTGTGGCCCTCTCTGCGTAGAAGGTGAGTCATAAGCCTGCGGCCATTGCAGCATGTCCTGGGCGACAGATTGCATTGCAGCATCACCCAGATTTCCAGAGAAGGGGATCAGAGCATGGCCTGCCTCAGTTGTGCTCAGGTGGGGGGAGTCAGCGGCCCCTCCATCCATCCGTCTGTCTATTGATGCCTTAGAGAGCCCTTCCCACCCCCCAAATCCTGGACCTGCTTGTTGATAGATGGTGCTAATGTGTCTCCTTTGCTCTCCCGCAGGCCGAGGCCAGAAGCTGGATGCCTCGGAGGAGCCCATGGATCAGGGCCCTTTGGAGCTTGCCGAGGAGGAGGAGCAGGAGGCAGCAGAGCAGGAGCAGGACCTGTTACCAGGTAGGTGGGACCCACAGAGGTGGGTTTGTGGCCTATGCTGGGCACGATGGCAGACCCCCTTACTCCCCGCCCCCATTCCTAGCCTAGCTATCTCTAGCCTAGCTACTCATTGAAGGCTGGAAACTTGATGACACAAGAAGCTTGTGCAGTCCAGGGATGAAAGCCAACACCTTCTGAACTCAGTGGGTCTCCTCTGAAGTAGGGAGGGGGGCAGGGAGAGGAAGTGCTTCCAGGCCAGGAGAGGGAGGGGCAGGGGTCATGGGAGGGGGCAGGGATTGAGCAGCCCTTTGCAAAGAGGAAGGGCTCCCATCGTGACAGGGCTGGGGGGCTGTTCTCTCCAAAGGTCTCCCACCACCGCTGGAACTTGGCCCAAGGGGTGCGGCGGGCTCTGGCCACCACTGGCCCGCAGAAGGCAACCGGCTGAGGTAAGAGCGCTTCCTGCACTGCAGGGCTTGGAGGGGTCTTGTGGGGAGCGGGCTTCTGGTGTAGGGAGGGGGGGCTGGGTCATGGAAGAGGGCCAAGGGGAATTGATGTAATTGTGTGGTTTCTTTCCATCAATTGAATGTTTGCCTTATACGTTGGAAACTGCCTTGAGTCCCTTCCGGGAGACACAGTATTCCCTCACTTATTTCGGGTGTTCCTGTTGCACTCCAAGACAGGGAAAGCCCTCTGACTTTAAACACCACACCGTTGGATAGGGAAACAATCCTTTTATTGAAGATAATTAAAAAGCCGTAAAGTAAAAAAGCACTTTAAAGAAATAGGTAAATCCAATTAGGTAGGAAGATAAGCAGGAACAAAGTAGTCCAGGATAATAGTCCAACAAAGTCCATAAAAACAAAGTCAAAACTTGCCAAATAAAATGATTCCTGAAATCAGGAATCCAAAGCATGAATATAAATACATAGTAACCAAGAATCAAAATCATGAAACAAAGGCACTTAAAACATGATTTTTCCAAGTAAAGCTTCCATGAAACAAGGATGAGATCTTGACTTGATTCCAAACGATGCTTCATCTGACTACATATCCTGTACTTGGGACTTCTATCTCCTCATTAGCTATGTCTCTAGCACTCTGAAATTGGTTTCGCTTTAGCTGAAAATTTCTAATCTTTTTCTCTCAGAGCCTGGCAGAACACCGAAGCCACTGTTCGGCTTTCCTTATTTTTTTATTTATTTAGAGTTTTTATAATCCGATCTTCTCGACCTCCGAGGAGGGACTCAGGCCGACTAACAACATAAGATGCAATACAATAAGAAAAAACAGTATAGATCATCAATATAAAATACATTAAAATACAATTCATACAATTCGTATAAATTACTGTTTTGATTGATCTCCTCCCATCTATCTATTTGCTCATTAATTTCTGCAGCTGGGCCAGGTGCCAAGCTGTTTTCATGTTCCCTATCATGGGAACTCTCTGGTAGCAATTCAGAGAGCACACGATCATCCCCACACCCCTCAGGGACATTCTCATGGGGAACTACACTTTGAACAGGGATCTCCTGGTTATTCTCTGCTTCAATATCCTTGACCAAACCATTGCCATCTTGAAACTCATCTTGAAACTCATTGACATCACTCTCCACATCCAAAGCACTCTGTTCCTGAAACACAATCACAGGTTGAGCTCAAACAGTTCTACTCCATGACCACCCTCGATAAGTGAAAATCCGCAAAGAGAAAATCCACGGCAGCCTCCTCCTCGTCACCTCCACTGCTCCCCGCCTCGGAGGCCCCTTCCTCGCCAAGCTGGGCGCCCTTGGACACTCAGCCTGATGAGGAAGGAACGCGGAGCAGCTCAATATTGTTCCCCCGCTGCTCCCGCGAAACAGCGAGTCTGCAATAAGCGAACTGCGAAGTAGCGAGGGAACACTGTATACAAATAAAGTGTTGCTTCTGCTGTTGTTGTTAACGTGGGCTATAAGGTGGGCAGAAGAGCCGCCCCATAAGCCCACCTCTCTCTCTGTGATCATCTCAGGGTCCAGCTCTAGGTGGATGGGTTTTGCAGTCCTTGCCAGATTGTGGCTGGACAGGCGCTGCTGCTGTATGGCCCATAAGGTAGGGACGTGGGCCACTTCACCTAAGAGCCCCCTTTCCTCTTTCCCCTCTCTCTCCCCTCTCTCCCACAGGGCTGCAAATGAGGGAGGGTCCGGATCTCCCTCCTTACCTTTCGCAGTGGCCCAGGCTGCGGAACAGCGCCTCCAGCAGGCAGCCGCTCAGGGAGCCGAGGAGGAAGAAGAGGGGGAAGAGGGGAAGGCGAAGACCCCACCAGGCCGCCCCGCCTCTGCGATACCGTCCCTCGTCCAGCTCTCCCTGCAGGGGACTGTGGCCCTGCTCACAGGTGGGTCCCTTCTCCCCTACCCTTTCCACCCCCCATTATGCAATGTGCCTCTGTAACGGCCTCTTGGACACCCCCCTCCTCCGCAGCCCCCCGCAAGCAGTACTGCCGCAGCCTCTCGGCGCTGACCCCCGTCCTGGCAGAGCAGCTCCTGGCGCACCTGGCGAAGAGGTCCCTGCTGAGCCCCCGCTCCCTGCGGCTCTTCTTCGGCTGCCCCCTGCAGCGCCTGCGCCTGGACTGCTACCCCTTGGCCACCAACGCCCTCCTGCAGCAGTTGAGCGCCTTCCCCGGACTCCGGCACCTCAGCCTCGTCTCCTGCGCCGTCATCACCGGTGGGTGAGAGCCGAACATGAAAACAGCTTGGCACCTGGCCCAGCTGTTAGGGGCCTAAGTGGGAGGGGGGTCACCTTGGGACAGGGCCTTCCCTCATGGCTGGACTGCGGTTTGCAGGCCTTTCTATGGCAATAGGCAGGTGGACACAGAGTCCCCTCCTGAATGGGATTCCCAATGGTTAGAGAAGTATCGTCTGCTCCTCTAATAACTGAGGCCTGTCCAGAGGGGGCAAGGACTCCTTTTGGGGGCCCAGAGTGGAGCCGGTGCCCTGCCAGAACAATGAGAGCTCAGCCAGGAAAGACGCGCCTTTGCCCTTCCTGCCCGACAGAGGCCAGACTGACCGCTCCACTCTCCCTCAGACCAAGGCCTGTCTGCCCTGCCGCACCTGACCCACCTCCAGCACCTCAACCTCTCCGCCTGCGTCAAGCTCACAGACAACTGCCTTCAGTTCCTCAAAGGTCAGTCCATCTACTGGACCTCTTGCATTATTGGGGTGTGGGGGGGGGGAGGGTCCCAAATGTCTTGGGCCCTCCCTCCATGTGTTTCCCACCATTCCTAAAAGCCTCAGGAGGGAGGGACGAAGTTTGCCCATGCCTAGTGTACATGCCTTTGACGGGGAATGGCGCATGGCTCCTGCTTTGCCCAAGCGGTGCTGATCCATGCTACATGAGAGGCGAAGGTGGAGGATTGGGGCCACAGGCCATGATTATGGGCTTAGGGTGAAGAGGAGGGGTGTCAACAACCCCCCATTCGTGCTCTTCCCTCTCTCGCAGGGCTGCCGCACTTGTCTCACCTGGCGCTGGACCAGACGCGGGTCACGGACCGAGGCCTGGCGGACTTCCTGCCCTCGGCACCCCCCTCCCTGACCCACCTGAGCCTCAACCGGACGGGGGTCACGGAGCACACCCTGGCCCTGCTGCCCCGCCATGTCCCCCAGCTCTGCCTCCTCAGCATCAAGCAGACGGGCGTGAGTCGGCCGGGAGGGAGGTGTTAGGCGAGTGGGTTTATTAACAAAAGTAACTTATTAGCAGCAGTGTGACCCAGTACCAGTAACCCAACTGATAAAAAGACCCAAAACACACAAACCAATGTTGTCTCTCCCATAGGAAGCACTATTTACAATTACAAGGTTTCCACAACACAAGTAAAGTCCTTTATACTTCCTTCTTTGCTTCCATGCTGGGTTTCTTCCTCATACAGATAAACAGCTTTAATCTCGCATCGAAATTACACAGGAGCTTCACATAGAAGCTTTACACACAGCTTTACGCACAAAGCCTT